GAATTGAACTTGAAGATTTCCCCCCATGAATTCATGTTTGGGAGATAATTACTAGTGAGTAATAATATCACTGACTGAGGTTTTCTAAGAAACAAACACTCTTCAGTGTATAGACTTTGTTAATAGCTGAAACATAAATGCTAAGTCAATGGAGATGTTTTTAGACTGCAGAGTAGGACACCTAGTTTGCTTTTCATTTATTCAGCAACCTACACAGTGCCTACTTTTTGCCAGATACTCTGCCATACATTGGGGATGAACAGAGAAGTCCTGGAAGTACTACGGTGTTTACTGAGCTGAGTAGGGAATTTGGATGGGTAAACGGATTATTGGGGAACAGTGTCCTAGGTGCTGTAATGGAGGCGTGCACAGTTCCATTGGAGCAGTTGGAGGAAGGCTCTACTGCTAATGACATTTGAGGTGATTTTAAAAAATATATATTTTATTGATTTTTTAAAGGGAGGAAAGGAGAGGGAGAGTTAGAAACATCGATGAGAGAGAAACATCGATCAGCTGCCTCCTGCACACCCCCTACTGGGGATGTGCCCGCAACCAAGGTACATGCCCTTGACCGGAATCAAACCTGGGATCCTTGAGTCCATAGGCTGACGCTCTATCCACTGAGCCAAACCGGTTAGGGCTTGAGTTGATTCTTAAAAGTCTGCCAGGTTTAAAGGAAGTAAAGGGATATTCCTTATAGAATGAATGTTCTTAGGTGGTCTCATTTCTTTTAGCTAGGAACTTGTATAATCTAGGCATAGATAATTAACAACCATTAAACTTCTTAACTCAAATAGCAGGTCTTCAGTGGACCTTTAGCTTGTACTTGAGTGCAACAACTTCACGATGAAATTCTCTTCCGGGCCTTCAGAAATTTTGGCACATGGTCAAAGCCCAGTACATAGTGGATGGATTGATGGATGAAAGGACACGGTGAGTCCTACGTCATAGATATCACAACATGTAGATGTCACTGTTAGAAAACTTGGAAGCAAATTTATATTTTCAGCCAAATAGGAGAGCAATTTAATTTTGTACAGCAAAGGGACCTAGCGATAGAGCCCATATTTTCCTCAGCAAATAGCGTGGGCTCTTATGAATTACCTGCACAAACATTTAGCTTGGTCTCCAGGGTCCTGCCCTATGCAGCATGAAAGGAATGAATTCCCTCTAACAAAGGTTGAGGGCAGGTATTACCAGCTAATCACAACATCCCTGAACTTTCGCCAGGCCTCTGCGGAGTCTCTGATTTTAAATAGAGCCGCCTCCTCGCCGTACCTGTGGAATTATTAAGCTGTGCAATGTATGCCTGAACAGTTCATAGGCTTGACTCGCGGAAGGGGTTATTCTAGATAAATGATTACCAAGTGCAGTATAAGTTTTGGTGTCCTGATGTTGAACAACTTCTCCCAACAATACCTAGTCATCAGGCCCACAGATTCTTAAGGCTCCTCATTTAGAAGAATACACACACCCTTTTCTTTCAGTCTCCGGAATTATGTGTCCACCTGCTTGACTGTTCTCTTGGATGTCTCCGCTCTCTCAGACATAAACAGGACCATTTATACATCTTGCTCTTCACCACCTGCTCCAGATCTGTACCTTCTTTTGCTGTGTGCCGCTCTCACTAAATGAACCACCGTTTACCTAGTAACTCAAGGAAGGGAGGAGCAAGGTGTTAATTCTTGACATCCTTCCTCAGCCCGCAAATTTAGCCAGTCAGTTTCATGTAATTGTCTGACATCCATCTACCTTGCTTCATTGGATGTGCCATCAGCCATCATCATCCATTTGAACTACTGCCCTGGCCTCCTAACTGGCCCCCCTGCTTCCACTTCCACTGTTTCTGATCAGTTCTCCACGTGGCGTCTACAGTCATCTTTGTAAAATGTAACTTGATTATGTCATCTCATGCTTACAAGCCTTCACTGGCTTCCCTTTGCGCTGTAGCTAAATAAAAAGAATTTACCCTGGCCTGCGTGGCTGGGCATGACATAGCCCTGACTTACCTTTCCAACTTTATCTTTTCCCCATTCCTCCTCTTCCCCTTTTTCCAGCTATGGTGTCTCTCTTTCAGCTCTGTGATGCGCCAAGCTGTTTCCTGCCTTTGCGTCTTTTCCCTGTTTCCTTTGCCCTGAATGCTGTCACCTGGCTCTCTCCTCATTTTTAGGACTCCTCTTAATTGTTACTTTTTCTTGAGAGGTCTTCCACATCGCCCAATCCAAAGTTGCCCTTCCATAATCTTGATCAAGACCCATCTGAGTTTAAGAAGATTCATTTGCTTTACCTGTATCTCCTCACCGTAACATGATGCTCCAGGGGGACCACATCTGTGTAGTCTCCCACTGTGCCATGTAGCACAGTACTGTACAGGGTAGTGCTTCATAACATTTTTTGAATTAAAGACTGTTTCATTAAAATAAAAGTAGACCCAGAAAGGAGACTCTTGGCCTTCTCTTTGCAATAATGACGGGGCCTGCATCTGATTCCTGTAGCAGGGTTTGCACGTGGCTTCCATACGAGTGTCGAGTGTTGAGTAGAGTCCTAACAGGAAGTCAGTTATTTGCTCTTTTGCCTTGCAAAAGAAAAGAAAAAAGAAAAGAAAAAGCTTGGTGCCATTTTCAGTGTTTGTCTTTGGGAGCCTCACAGACTAAGTTTAGGTCCTGGTTTTGCTCCCGTAAAGCTGTCTAATCTCGAGCAAGTTAACCCAGTTCTCCCAGGTCTGTTTCCTCGTGTATAAAATACGGGAAATTACATCTATCCCATGGGCTTGTTATGAAGATTACATGAGATTGTGTGCAAGGTACCTATACCATGGTGGGCACCTTGTAGCTCAGCCATTCTTTTTCTTATTCCCTTTATATCGCAAGAGATTAATAAGGACTCTGAGAAAACTCATTTAATTTACCTCGTAAACTTACTGTACTTATTTAATGCTAAATCATACCCAGGGGCACTCACATGAGGTCAAAATCAGTTTAAGAGGAAGTAATCCATCTCTAGGGTGCAAATAAACAGTGATGGACTGGTTATATAATGGCCAGTAATGTTGGGCTCCCTCAGAAGGATATTTGTGGAATTCACCTTTGCCTTATTCCAGGAGTTTTTTCTTTTTCAACATTATAATATTAAAATAACAAATAAATACAAATAGGTATTTTTTATTCCAGTTCAAGTAGATGTTCTGTGGAGCTGGGCCATGTGAAAATATTTTTCCCATTTTAGTATTTCTATGGAGAAACCTTGGCAGGCCCATCAAAAACTCTGGAGTCCAAAGCTCTTCTAATTATGTTGTCATAATTTGGGGGTAATTTAAAAATTAAATATTCTTAAGACAGTTTATTAAATTTAAATGGACTGGATTTGAATTAGTAAGTGGTGTATGTTTACCACCTACTTAGGCATTCCAATCTGGATGCTTGATTGAGTTTAAGGGGAAATTATTGTGTCATATCTACCAAATTATCCAAGGTTAATTCTTTGTCTCTATGAAGTGAGAATAACTCACTGACCTTTGCCGCTATGAAATGTGTTTCACTGAATGACATGAGACAGTACTGTGGCAGGGGAATTGTTTCTCTATAAGCCAAGTCCTCCAGAGAGCCAGGGGCTGAAGCATTACAAGGTTAAGGCCTAGCCCTGGCCGGGTAACTCATTTGGTTAGAGTGTCGTCCTGAACACCAAGATTGCTGGTTCAATCCTCGGTCAGGACACATAGGGGAGTCAACCAGTTGAATGCATAAATAAGTGGAAAAACAAATCGGTGTTTCCTTCTCCTCTCTCTTTCTCAAGTCAATAAGTAAAAATTTTAAAAAAAGATCTTGTAAAAAAAGGTTCAAGACCTATTTGCTCAAATATTGACACAGGCCAGGAGCTATGTTGTTTATTATGGGATAAGTAGGGTGTTGACGCAAGGGGGTAGACGCGACAATTAATAGCTGTGAGGCATTCATTGACTGCTTGGCTCAGTTGTGTAGAGTGTGGGGACTTTCGGGAGGCCCGGGGAACAGATGTGAATTCCTTCTGGGACTCTCACTGTGCCATGTTCTGTAGCTGAAGATCTCACCTCAAACCCAAGCCAAGTATCTTGAGAATGTGTGGGATTGGTTATTTGGGACATTAGGCTAATAACAGGTGAATGTACTAGCACTACAGAAGGTGCGCTGTATTGACACAGGGGAGGCTATATGAGTAGTGATGTCTAGACATTTAGCTCATGACCAATTTCTCATGGCAAGTTTGACTTCATAAGCTAATATAGCTAAACTGAGAATTGTGGTTGCTAATGTTAACATATGTCCAGCATAATGTTAGCATCTAATCTCAGAGAGATGACAAAATCAACAACATAAAAAAATCTGGGTGCTTCTCCCCTCCCCTTACCCACTCCACCCCCCCAGGCATATTACCTTGACCTTTCTTTCTTCTAAGCTCCAAGTACTCCTCTTTGGCCTCTGTAAACTGTTTCCTGAGCCCATTTCTTCTACTTTCTAAATAAACTTTCTCTTATATAAAAATTAATTAATTAATTTTAAAAAACCAAGCTGTTCTTTTACTCATAGGTGTTGTCAAAGGGAGTAAAAGTTGATAGTATCTGTCAGTGGTTCTGGTCATTACATTTTCTTTTGGTGTTTTCTGTTCCGCGTCTGGGGGCTGCAGTGCTTTAAAAATAAATTGGGGCAATATCTTTTCAACAATTCATGACCTTCTGTTGAGAAGAATGGGAGCGCTTTCTGTTGAGTAAATGAGAAATAATGCATTTCCTTTGCTTCAGTGCAGACTACCTTGATGTCCAAGCATAGGACTTCAGGGTCTCCACCTTCCATTGAACTGATTTGATGTTTAAATGACTTCTTCAGGTGTTTCAGTTTGATGAGATGCTAGAAAAGAAATCATAAAAGAACCACAGTAGTGTTCCTTGATCTGCCTATAAGTTACCCATGCGTAGTCTGTTGTGGAATGTGACATATCTCTTTCCTTTTTTTTTGGTCTTTTTCCAGAATGCTATGAACCTACCCCCTGACAAAGCAAGGTTACTGCGGCAGTATGACAATGAGAAAAAGTGGGAACTGATTTGTGACCAGGTAAGAAACAATGATGCTTTTATCAAGAAGTAATGAAAGAAGAGATTTCCTCCCTAAATATATTAGACACCCTCCCCCCCCCCCCCGCCCCCCCGGGCCCAGGAGATGCATGGATTTCTGTTTTGTGACTTGTTGCCTTCCTGTTTAAGATCAAAGGAAAGTTAGAAAATGACTTCTTTTATTCTTGCATGATTTTGATTCTCTCCTTTATTTTTAGACTTTTTGTATTAGGTTTTCTGGGCGATCTGGTCTGGTCAGGGGGGCATCCAAATTCAGATGATCTGTTTTTCTATTTATCTCACAGAGCAGTTTATGCTGCTTGAATAAGGCAGGCCCTCTAATTTAGTCGGCTTTTCCATTCATGTATATTGATGCATATTCATGCAAGAGGGTGAATTGTTTATAAAGAGACTACTTTGGGCTGATAAAAAATTATTTCAGTGTTTAGCAATTCTTTTTATTTATCATTAACTCATAACAAGTTCACACACTTCAGAAGGATATAAAGTAAAAAGTAGAATTCCCCCTTTTCTTTCTACCCTCATAATTGCACACCTTAGAGAGTTTGAAATGTCCTTCCAGTTTCCTTTTATGTTGTTATTTAAAAACAAACAAATATATGAACACACACACACACACTCTCTTCCTCATCTTGATACATTTGACAGTATATATGTCTCTGCCTTATTCTTTTAGATGTTCTATAGTAGTCCATTGGCAGTGGTAGTGATTTGAGGGGCACTTTCATCTAGGACTAGGAATAGGCTAGTTGTTTTAAAACGTAGAAGAGTCACTCCCTAAAGGTAGAGGGTAGGCTCTGCCGATTACATATTATCAGCTTTTTTTCATTTTGTGCCATGAGTTTCAGAGTGCTCGCATCCCTTACATCAGGCCACCCTGAAACTTTCTGGGAGTGCTGTAATTCCTCTGACCAGAGCTCCCTGGGGTCGCTATTGCGGGGTACAACGTGTCAGGGGAGCAGAGGGGTTTTCTTAAGGGGTTTTCCACGTTTCCTAAGAAGTAGATGCCTGCGGTTCTTAGAGGGTTTCTGCAGCACTCATTGTGTGTTGACCTAAGCCCCTAACTAAAACAGTAATGAAATGACGGTAAGAATCCTCCCCTCCTTTTCCATCCTATATTTGAGCACTAAGAATAGATAGCAACGGAAGAGGAAGCCTACTGCTTACATGACCGTGGTCCAAAAGAATAAAATGTGCTGACACTTATAATCTCCTTGCTCGAGACTTCATTTTTAATGACTATTAGCTAAACCTATTATTTTGAGGAAAAATGATTTTATGACAGTGAACAAATATAATAGGGATAATTACTATAAAGGAAAGGTAATCACTCAAGCGAGGGAAGGCCAAGGGGTGAGAAATTCTATAGTCGCACAGGTTGTGAATGACAGCGTAGGCGAAGGGAGATTGGCCCCGGTGGCGGTGAAGTTAGCGCTGAGAGGAAGGGCTGAGCCGTCCTTCCTTCCTCAGACCTGCAGGCGTAGTCACTGCCAACTCGGTCTTCCCTGCTCCTTCCGGGTGTGAATGAATTATTAGTGTTTGTATCTCCAGTGTGCCAGTCAGGGAAGGCTGCTGATGATGGAAGAGTTCCAACAGCTTTACTCTTCTCTCAGACCAGAAGTGGCTCCATAGGGTTGATGGTGGAGTCTCGGGCAGCTTGAGGCTCAGAGAGTAGCAAATCAGTTATCTAATTATTTGCCTGATTCTCAGCCCCTCAGAGTTCAGGTTATTACTGCCTTAAATGTGACTATGCCAGGACGTGGAGAATTTAGCTACTTCATCTGTTCCTGGCAGTCCCTTCAACACAAGCTGAAGTGGCTCCATCAGTTCTGAGTTGTGGGTGATTTATTAATAGTGAAGTAATAATTATTATTGTCGTTGCCAATAGCCAGCATTTAGTAAGCAGATTTTCCGACCAAAAGCTCTGTGTTTAATCTTCAAAGGATACCAGTAACACTTATTAGTGACTCCATTTGACATATGAGGAAAACAGACTGAGCGATTAAATCATTGCTGAAGGTTGCATAGCTATTAGGAGGTAATGCGGCATAGACTGTCAGATTCCCAAGAATATGCACATTCCGGGCCTTAACCGTACTTTCGGCTCCCTTCTTCACTGAGTACGCAAGTGTTTGAATGATATACTAAAAGGAAAAAGTACAAGCTATTCCTCTGCCCTGCATTCTGGTATTCTTTCCTGAGAGGGAGAGAAAGCCAGGGAGTTTTAGTACAGGCACTGAGCCTCATCTACCCACATGACCATCACGGTGAGCTACCATTTTTTGATCAAACAGTCATTGGGAGAATTGTGTCCAGCAGAAAACTGGACTTTTTGTCAGATACAGCTAACTTATTGGTGTGTCACCCACATGAATATGACTTCTCCTATGTATGTTTCTGAGGGGAAAAATAAAATCCATTAGCTTAAAGCATGAATGACGTAATATTTATATGACAAATATAATGTATTCGTGTTTATTTGACTGAAGGCTTATCTTACATAGACCTTGTCATACACACACGCACACAAACACACACGTTTGGCACATAATCTATATCTCTTTATGGTATCTAACCTGATGGACACTCAGAATACATTTGCTTTTATGATTCCATTTATATGAAATGTCCAGAATGAAAAATTCATAGAGAATGAAACTAGATTAATGGATGCCATGGACTGGAGAGGGGATGAGAGACTGATAATGGGAATTATATCTCATTAAACATGATATTTGCCTCTGCAACAAACAGAGATAGGGAAAAATGGGGAGGAGAACATAAGAGAAATAACTGTGTGTGTGGACCTTCTTTTGGATCCTTATCTGGACATACATTCAAGTACTTTGTGGGGATACTGAGGCATGTTTTATAGTAGCCTGAGGTGTAGTATGAGAGTAAGGAGCTGGAAATTGTTCCTTGGACAATTACAAACGAAAACCCCCAGCTGCTTGGCAATAAGAGGGCTCTCTCCTTGCTCTTTGTACCTGTACAGACAAAGAATGCCCCTTGCTCTCACTCCTGCCTCAGTTGTTGGTGTTCCCTAAACACAGACCCTGTGCTACACTGTTTGGCTTTGGAGTCTTGGCTGTTTTCCATCAGCTTAGGGCAGGGGTCCTCAAACTTTTTAAACAAGGGTCCAGTTCACTGTCCCTCAGACCGTTGGAGGGCCGGACTATAGTTTAAAAACAAAACTAAGAACAAATTTCTATGCACACTGCACATATCTTATTTTGAAGTAAAAAACAAAATGGGAACAAATACAATATTTGTATTTGCATGTGGCCCGCGGGCTGTAGTTTGAGGACCCCTGGCTTAGGGTAAAAGCTGCACTTAGGGAGCTTCAGAGATCCTGGATGGACTTTCAAATCATTACAGCAGGTAGGGTTGTAGAGACCGTGCATTTCAAGCCACTTTTTATTTCCCCTTTTAAAAGACTTTTTAAATTGATTTTTAGAGAGAGAAGAAAGGAGAGGGAGAGAAACATCAGTGGGACAGCAGAACATCAATTGGCTGCCTCCAGCACGCCCCCTACTGGGGATCTGGCCTGCATCCTGGGCATGTGCCCTGACCAGGAATTAATGATCAACCTCTCAGTGACCGGGCCTTAACCATACTTGTTACACTTAACCAACTAAGCCACACTGGCCAGGGCTCCACTCTTTATTTTTCTACTTAAAAAGTTAACATATGCTTGTCAAAAAGAGAAACTGTATTAGAGCATGTGAAGTAAAGTGTAAGTCCTTTTGCCTTTCCTATCTGTTCATGCATTCCCTTAATTTATTGGTGATGAAACTGAGGTTCAAGAGCATAAATGACTAGACCAGTAGCACCAAGGCTTCCCTGGCCAGTGAGATGAATGAGAACACCTAAGTTCCAAACCCCTTTCAGTTATTTCCTGTTACACAGGGGCCTGGAAATATTCACTGAAACAAAAATTGTAGTAGATAAGAAGTAATCTCTGAGGCTTCATCCAAAATCTTCTTGGGTGTTATTGGTTGGGGGCATGGATTGGTTCATAACTGAATGATGAAGTAGAAGTGGTTAGTCCTAATTTCAGGACATTTTAAATGACTAATGCCTATGGGTGTAAAATCAAGTTCTGGAATTTTATGGTGCCACACCTGAGCTGAGTTAGAAGGCTTCCTCTCTGTGGCTTTGTCGGTACCGATGGTGAGATTTATTTTGGGGGTGGATGTGGCATGGCTTGGTCTTGCCCCCTAATGGCTGGCTATTGTTTTGCATTATAGCCTTAATGAGAGATGGGGTCTCCCCATTTCTTGACTTATATGGAATTATATGGGAGAAGGAGATACAAACCAAAACAAAAGGGAGACTGAAGAGTTGGCTGGGAATCATACCCACCTAGACTCAGCTTCCTGGGGAGATTGAATGTCAACCCTCAAGGCTCAGCATGTGTCTGATCAGGAAAGGAGAAGGCGCCTGCTGCCATTGTGCCAGAGCTAAGTCAGGCCAGGGGCACTAAGATACTTCACTATACCAAGATACTCCACTACACCAAGATACTCCATTGCAGCAAGAATTGCTCTCTTGTCTTGGTCAACAACTGACCCATACCATTTGAATGTATTTAATTATTAAGAATATCATTATTTTGTAAATCCCTCACTTACATTTCCTAATACTATGTCTTTCAAAGGGAAAGAAAGTTACTTATTGGCTAACTTGTATCAAAAGTGAAGCCAATTTGCCACTGAAATAAAATTTTCTAAAATTTTAAAGAGCTAACAAAGTCACTAATCATCTGAGAGATGCAAATCAAAACAACAATAGGTACCATCTCACACCTGTCAGAAGGGCCATCATCAACAAATCAACAAATGACAAGTGCTGGAGAGGATGCGGAGAAAAAGGAACCCTCTTGCACTGCTGGTGGGAATGCAGACTGGTGCAGCCACTGTGGAAAACAGTATGGCGTTTCCTCGAAAAACTAAAAATGGAACTCCCATTTGACCCAGT